CTCCCAATTCCAAAATAGGCGCCGACCAAAGCTGGTTGTGATGCGACCGACCCAATCTTGGATCCATAAACCACTGACGCGCACTCCTTGATCCTGAAACAAAATTAATATTGAAGGTTAGTTGTAAATACTGATACAATTTAATAATAAATACACAAGCAATAATTTAATAATCAAATAGCATGTGCGTAAACGTAGGCCTAATATAATAGGAAATAGTGATACACATGCAATATCGCCAATGTTTCTAAATATTGAGCCGGCCACTTCCGTATGAACACGCCGGGCACACACTGCATCGGGAGACGGTCGTCCTACGCGATTCTATAGAAGACCGCAAGATGGAGAACTGTGGTCGACCATCTGCTTTGTCTGGCACCAAATATCAGCAGACGACGTCAAGTAGTGAAGCACTCGCACAGAGTGTTGACGGAATGTGGGCCGACACAGCGTATTTCCAATTTGAGAAAATATTAATAGCAAAACCAATAGGAGATCTAATGATTAGTTGGGTTACCTCTGCCATCTTGAGGTATTCCAGCATGGATGCTGTTCCACCTTGTACCCCAAGAATAATCCCAGAATGTATCCAGTCTGGCAACACCGGTTGTCTTCCGAGTATGTTCGTCAACATAGACACCAACTCAATGAATGAATTTGCTGTTCGAATAGCCACGTGACCAGGATTCAAACTACTAATAAATACTTCGTGAAAATCCTTATGTCTGAAGTCAAAACCTACATAACTTGAAACTGAAGAGTGTAGAAAGTACTTCTTCGATGACACAAATGTAGGCTGTGCCCAGTACGTGGTGTGATAATCTCCGCCTCCGCCGTCAGAATTATCAGCTTCAAATGTTGCGTATGTTGACTTATTACGACCCACACCCTGGCATCAAAAGACAAAAACAGGAGCACATTATTTCGAACACACTTAATTCAATAATGAAAATTTATTTTTCAGAAAAACATAAATTTTAATGTATCCTATACAAAATATAATACCAGGGTTTCAACATTGGAGTTAAGTATCTGTAAATTACCGAGTACTTACTGACGCGCTCTTATTTCATTCAAACAGAGATTGATACCAACAGCACTGAATGAATTTTGCCAGGACTAGTGAACCTGAAATAGTTATCTACAAATGCCATACAGAATCTATTAGACCTTACTATATTTCATATTCTCAAAATATTTCTCATTCTAAGGACCACAGAAATTTTGTATTCCACTCCAATCCACGTCCGATAATCTTTTCTCTGTTTGACAGAAACTTAAACCTCATCTTTTCCCATTCTTTAATATTAATACGATTATATTGTTTCTTTTTCTTATTTTAATATATTTTTTTTTTATTTACATTGTTAGAGTGTAAATAGAAGTGTGAGACTCAAGCAAGATGAAAACAATCTGTAGTAATAACTTACCTGTTCTCGTGTCCATATCGGGAAAGTCTGTCCTTTCATATTGAAATATGAAAACTGCTCACCTGCCCCATACACGTATTCTTCGGGATCCGCCTTTATCCTGAACCACAGACGGTCCATACCTGACGGCAAATCGCCGAATGTAATGTCCAAGAGACCATCTTTATTTGTTAATGTCACTCGTAACTAAAAAACAACAAATTGTGCTTAATAGCACACTTATGTAAGTGTTTTGTTATTTTCAAGAATATAGATTATACTTATGATTACTGGCCCCTGTGAGTTGTATTTTTAAGTGTCCAGTCTTTAAGCAAAACCCATGCTTCAAGCATCCGCCATCGAGGTATGTTTCTTTCTTCCATGTCAGCACACACTATAGCACACACATACCCACACACACACACACACACACATACACACGGAAAGGATTTCTAATCAAGAATTAATATGATTTATTTAAATTTGACTACTAACGAAGTAAAAAAAATATTTTTTTAAATATTGTACCTTGGACACCCCATTGGGAAATAGGCCTAGTAGACAGAACTACTTTTACATTCCCAAAAAGCCGTTTTCAGGTATAAAAATTCACGTTACCGGCTATAATTCAATTTGTGAAAGATACGTGAAATTGCGGCCGAGGTAATCATAACGAAAATGCTGTGTAAATATAGGCCAAAATGAAAGAAAATAATGTTTAACTAGATTTATAATGATTATTACCCCATACAGTGGCGTATCTAGAAGTNNNGGGGGCTCGATGATCAGTTGAGGGGCGCTAATTCGCAAAATAAGGTGATTTTAGGTGATTTTTAACCACTTGACCGTGATTTTTTTTAGGGGTGGGGCTGGAGGGGCGACCCCCCCCCCCGTAGATATACCAGTTACCCCAAAATCCTATCAATGTACAATGTTTTTCGAATCAATGAGGTGAACCTGATACACCTTGATTAGCCCTGGCTCTAAACCTTAAACAATTGTATCTGCTAACGTAATATTCTTTTATTTTATTTTTCTATACTAGTAGGGGCCTATGTTTTTATTAGTATAGTATGATTTTCAAGGAGATTTTATGGAATACTATTGTCCACATAACTCCACTTCAGTAAAAAAATTATAAGCGCTATATATCAATGCATTAGGCTTATAATACCTTTAAATAGCATTATTCGTATGTATTACTGTATTTAAAATTCTTAGAAAATGTTTTATAACAATCTAATATATGTATTGTATATTTTAGTTTTACTCTAGTATTGCGGCATAATTATTAAGGCACCTACCGAAAGCGTGCCTCTTTTGAAAGTGATTTCTATCTCGTCCGGCTCTTCATACTGAACCATAACATCATTAAGCCCAATGCGTTCTTCGACATAATCAGAGATTTCAAAATTGCCATGGTGCGACTTGAATGCTAACTTTCCAGATCCAAGGTACAAAAAGGGAGATTCGTCAGAATGCTTGATTAAGTGAATTCCGTTATAATAAACATCCAGCTCATTTTGCTCGTTCAGGGTGTAGTCTAACGTTCCAGATACTAACGTTCCCGTCAAGAATGCGTAAACCAGTAGCCACATACTGTTTAAAAGAAAAGAATATAGCTTCATTTTTCTTTTTAACTGTCAAATTACAATCAGGTACCTACGAGTCGGTGCTTATACATAATGTCTATCTACAGACCTCTTGTACTGCTTACATGCGCCATGAACTTTGACGCTCAATAATTACTGTTAGAAACCTGGTTATAGGAGACTAACCATAACACAAGCCTTATTAACAAAAATGTTTAAGCGCAGTGTTTGCTTTTAATGACTGTTAGCCATAATAGTCAATTGATGTGATGTGCGTACTCTATGACATACTAACCTATGTTATTTATCTTGTTACCCAGTTGCTTTTTATGACTGTTAGCCATAATAGTCAATTGATGTGATGTGCGTACTATATGACATACTAACCTATGTTATTTATCTTGTTACCCAGTTCTCCCTTCAATTTAAGACCCCTCTAAATCCAGACCACGTTTTGGAGTAACAATATTTATATTTTCACTCAATGTTATCCCTCTATTTACAACCCCTAGACCACCCTAAATTTCCCGGTCCCAATGTCATTTAAGGGTCAATGTATCTGGAATAGATGCTCTGGTGCCAATGATTTGATGATCAGATGCATTTATTTATTTATTTTATTCCTTTAGGCACACACACATTGTCAATATTGAATATTATATATGTCCTATTCACAGGTGGCAATCCTCTTCACGAAATAAACATACTGTACATACATATAATGCTTTATACAATTTAAGTCTCATTATGACGTTTGGAAGTAGATTTGTTTTAGGTTGTAAAAAAAATTCAGCAATGCTGACAAAAATTCAACCCAAGACCATAAGATTAGTTATGGCGTAAGGTTGACGTGTTTGCATTTTGCTCTCTGAACTTTTGTCATTACATATCAGTAGATAACATAAATGATAATGTGTAAACAAGATCCTCCCTGAATCTCATCAAACTACAGTAGGGTGTGGATATGTGTAAACGCAATTTGCGTTTTCTGAATAAACCGGTTGCAGCTAGGTTAAACTCTATGATATGCATGAACAATTTTTGCTTTCAGTCACAGAATTGCTATGAACGTACACTGGCCTATACAAGGCCTGCAGGCAATGAATGAGTATCCAAGCAGGCCTACATCGCTATTCATTGCAGCAAATAGTTTGAATTTCACCAACTTCGCAGTAATTGTGAACTTGGTTTTCATTTTTGTAACTTCATAATTTGTTTAGTTCTATAGGCCTATATTTTGTACGGAAGCACCTAAGTGCACTTAGGTGCTTCCGTAATTTTGGGTTTGGGTTTCCGTTTTTCTTTTTTTACCTTATACTTCTGAACTACTTTTTTGATGACATTTTAACTTCATTTCTCATTATATCAATGAGGGAAAGCCCTATGCTCTGTTGTACAAACAGGCATAGTAAGTCATATTTTTTTTTCTTCTCCCATTTTCCTATGATTTTGCACTGCAGGATTTTTGTGTCTGCCACTTGGCCAATTTCCATGCTTAGATATTCTTCAAACTTTATCCAATCTATGGCCATAAGTGGCCATAAGTCACATAGTGGAGTTGAATAGCTTGGTGGTTAAGATGCTTGCCTTCCAATCCCAGGGTCCTGGGTTCAATTCCTGCCAGTTGCAGGACTTTTTCTCACGACCAAAACAATTCCACTCCCTAAATCTCATATTGAGATTTAGTTTGTGTAAAGCATCGTGTGTGTATGTTTGTCTTGTGTAAGGGATTGTCACCTACAAGTAGGACAGCGATATTTTCGCTATTGACAATCCTTGGCCTAAATAAATAAATAAAAAAAATTAAAAATTAAAAATTTTTTTATATCAAAGATGTACAAATTAAAAATGACGTCATTCTACATATTTTTAATACTAATAAACAAGCAATTAGACTTTCACTATATAATAATGATTATCATTAGGCCTATGAGGAAAAACATATGTTCTCCTATACAGACAAAGTATAGTTTGTATTATTTTTTTTATTAGGCAACATATCTCCTTCCGTTTGAGATATTTTAACGGAGCATGTTCCAACATCAAGTTGAGTTTAACTTAGTAGGACTATACGTACAATGATGATTATCAATCAATGCCATTAATAAATAATCTGGTATGAATTGGCGCTATTATTAAGCTACCTAGACGTACCGTATCTATCGACACACCTTACAATATTCTTCAAAAAAATGTAAATGGTATCTTTTTTATAATTAAAAGTTACTAAGATAAAACAAGGAAATAAAAATGACATTTCTCCGGTTACCACAAAATGCCACATTAATTTCAAAACGAAAGTGAAAGAAATTTGCTTCTGTAAGATATCATCATCATCATCTTCATTATCATATCATCATCATCATCATCATTATTAGTGTTACTGCATGTTAGCATCTGAACTAGGCCTATATACTGTTAGCTATGCATACTATTTACATGGTACAGTAATGTACGCGCGAGTTGGATCATGATGGTTGGATTTATTCGGTGAAAACGCCGAGGATAACCCACGAAAGTCTGAAGAAGATATACTTCCAGGGGTCCTGGTGGTGATTGGGCAGTTCACCGGGAGACAATGCCCATCTCTTTTCCAAATAGTGTAGTACGTCCTAAGGTGCACACGGGACCAACAGCTTTAAAGTCTTACCCGAAAGACGGTGCGCTAGTAACATGCATTTCAGCAATCCAGCTGAAGCATGAGGAAAGAATCAGCGATGGAATTGAACCGGGGACCTACAGATCTACACGGTTCAGCGTGCACACAGTGGTACGTACCGCCAGTTTAGCCAACTGCTGAGCTAAGATGCACTCTGAATGACAACATTCCTATCAAATAATATCTAGACCTGTATACAGTATTTACAACAGGTCTAGACCTTATTTGATAGGGTCAGACCTATTGTATACACAGTATTTACAACTTAGATAATAGCCTAATTAATATTTAAGTTATTGCTATCTATGGCTCTGGATATGTTGAGCCTACTTACCGGAAATTCCATCAAGCTTGCAGACACGTGATCTTCGTGACGTCAAATAGCACACAACACTCATGTAGGCCCTAATTGTCCGGTAGCGATGTATTTACCATCAGAAAATCATAAATAGAATTGTTCTTTTATTAAAATATACCTTATTTTAACTTTACTATAATTCATTGTTGTTTTGACTCATTCTATAAATACATTTGTCTTGATAAATTTGCTAAAAAGTTGCAGAAACATTAGTTAATTTTCCTATCCTCGCGCACGTCAACACCAGAAAAGTTACCGGTACTTTTAGTTGAGGGCAGCATTGAATATGGACTCTTTGATTGGAGCCTATTGCTATATCTTATATTACTAATTTTAACTGATATTGTTTTGGGGTTTAGTCGTCATAAAAATTTCGAACACAAGTATATTTAATACATGAAATTGAATTTTTCCTTTATATTTCACTTAATTGTATAACAATAATGTATTAATTGAGCACATTTTGACTATAATGACATTCCATATTGTCATAATGAAAACTTGAAGACATCTGCTCACTGAACGGTTCACTGCACACCTTAACACAGTAAATGAGTCAAAACGGGACCCCATTTTCTCACAAAATCGACTATATAATTTGAACGGTTTCATTTGGCAATCTGGGGCGTCACGCGCTTAAGGCCAATAACAGCTACGAATTTCAAGTTTTCTGCGGTTAGTGCGTTCATGCATAAGATGTAGGTCAAATTTACCTGAATGAGCTTTTGTCGAAAATAGGGGGAAAGTTTTCATTATGATTCCAACACAAAAATAAATTTTGAACAGCCCCTTAAATATACCTGATATTCACCATATTAATGATCATTTACACCAATAGAAATTAGCATAGGCCAACCGTAAGTAGTAACTTTCGGGTTGTTCTCTCGTCTACGTACGCAGTACAGTCTAGTTTCAACAATTCGAAAAGATAAAACTTGTATTCGTGTAATAGTGGCGGTGTAGGTCTGCTACCCCTCTATTTGTTGTAAAAAAAATGTTTGCAAAATTTATTAGAAAAAAATTACCAAGCTAAATATTAAAAATTAATCAACTACATGTATCTAATTAACAAATGTGCTACAGGTTTAAGGGAGAAATTACTATTATTATTTTGCGTTTGTTTTATTCGACTTTCGATGTTCAACCACACGTTCAGGTCTATAGTTCCATGATATATTTGAGTGTTGAGTATAGCATTCAATTGCAAGAGGTCCGACTCTCGTGGTTTCGTTGCAACGTAATCCTTTCAAAAAGAACTGCCACGAAGGGATGTGTCGTTAAAAGAAGAGATTAATAATTCGATCCGAGTGGCAGGGCACTCACGACCACTTGACTGTCGTCGGGGAAATCCCCCCCCCCCACCATCGGGGACATCAGTCCCTCCGTCAAACAAATCCTGCTACCACTTCAAGAAGCACTTTTTTACATTTTTGGGAAAATTGTCCCCCATAAAGATTTGAACGACATTAAATTCACGGACTAGTACCTGTCTCTTATACACATCTAGATGTGTATAAGAGACAGTAATGGTGCTTGTACCTGTAATAGGACTAGTCAATTGTTCCATTGAAACACGTGAGACATATTGAGTAACACGGAATTTATGAAACTAATAACTTTTTTTGTAAACACTATTCAATTCGGTTATAAACCGTTTAAACATTCAAACAGACCGGGTCACAGAAGATTCATTGAATGGAGATATAACCTCATACAACCAAAATAGTACATGCCTAAGCACGATAATTGTCGTAACTTTACTTTGGCAGAGTGAACGCCCATGTCTAATTCGTTGACTTCACTTATTCGACATTTGTAACAATACATTTGAATTCCAGTGCGTTGAACAACCAGCTTGAAGTGAACCAAATAAGTTAATTTATAGTTTGTTTTATTAGCTGTTATTTTATCGTCTTCGTTTTTTCCTCTACATTCTTAGAAATCGTTTATGCTGTCTAATTTAATGATGTTTAATTAATTAATTTATTTATTTATTTGTGCCACTTCACCTTCGTATCAGTGGCACTCACTAGTCAGTAGTGCGGTCTTACAAAATACACAAAAGAAAAAAGGTGAACACAATCTTAACTATGAATTTGCGTCAGGAAATATCATAGGAGTGATGTTTTGCCCTACCTAACGTGTTATCTCGTTATCAGGCTAGATACCTGGAGGTCGTGGGCCCGATTCGCACCCGAATCACTTGCGAATTTTTTTCGCTAGTATTCAGTACGATAACACGTCAGGTAGGGCAAAACATCACTCCTATGATATTTCCTGATGTAAATTCACATCTTTATAGCGCTTGCAGTACCCGCTGCTATTAGGGTATCAGATTCATTACTAGCCACCAAGCGCAAGCTCTGTGAGCAAGCTCTGTGGTCTAGTGGTAAAGACATCAGGCTAGATACCTGGAGGTCGTGGGTTCGGTCCCCCCCCCCCGCGAATCACATGCAATTTTTCCCGCTAGTATTTGGGGACGTACTGTGTATTCGGTACGATAACACGTCAGGTAGTACAAAACATCACTCCTAAGAATCTTAACATTAACAATCAATATTTTCTTTATTTCAGATGTTCTTAATGTATTTTTCTGATGATCATAACCTTGTTTCTAATTTAGTCAAATTTCCTGGGGCGGATCAAGAATTTTTCAAACACTGGGGACCATAGAATTTTCAGGATAGATAAGTGAGTAGCTCTAATTTCAATACATAACATTGATATGCATTGACATTTTAAAATTTAGTGGTTCTTACCGGATCCATTCTTGATTCCTGGTGACGTCGAGAATAGCTACTGCAGAGTGTAACTATTGCAGTGAAAACACTGTACAGATAGTGTAACGATTTCATGGAAACCGGCTTCAATGTCTTAGTTTAATTGTAAAAATACATGCTGCTAAATCAGTCCTTGACTGCAAATTGTATTCCATTTTGTGAATTTTTTTTAAATAAAGATTTATACTGCATATATA